TTACTCCATTATGTTTACAATATTATCATCATTTTAAATTAGAAAATATCTCGAAATTTCGTATTTTGCATAATCTTAACATGGTACAGCGTCCGATTTTTTTTTAGAGCATGGTGACATGGTTTATTTTCTGTCAAAAAAATTCATTTTTTTTCATAGAAATATTAAATTCAAGTAGTAAACAAAAAAAATTGAAATTCGTTAAAGAATATTTTGCGACGCAGAATGCATCACGGAACCTTTATACTAATATTTTATTCGAAAAATCTTTATTAAAAAAAAGAACAAATAACACATCATTCGACGAAATATTTCGTGTTGATTCCAAATATGTTCTTATTGTTTTTTTTAACTAATTTTTAGACAAAAGAACACGAAAAACCTTTGAAAATCAAGATTTTTTTAAAGAAAATCTATGTCGCAGTCCAGAAACATTTATGCATCTTGACATCAACTGAGTGGATGTGTCAAACAAAGAGAAAAATTTAATGAAAGTTGCATCGAGTTTGGAGTTATGCTAAAGTGTGAACACCGAACACGTCTTTTCAGAAAAGTCTTGATTGAGAGAGCATGCATACTTTTTCAAGCAGGAAAATTATTAGAGTAAAATTTTTCATATAGAACGACAGAAGAAGAACTTTATTTTCACAATCTGCATGAGTTATTCCTTAGACTTTTCTATTTTCTCTCGAACAAGATACTTTTCTCTAAGATGAGAGAAATTTGGCCATTTTTTCCAAACTTTTCAAGGGATGGAATCAGTTTTTCTAAACTAAAATATCGACCATTATTGGCAAAAAGTATATTATACATGATTAAAATCTCAAAAATAAATGACTTTCAGTTTTTCACTAAAAGTACACTTTGTTGCTCCAAATATTGACGTTTGAACAGGATAGAAATTGAAAATAACAGGATACTTTTTTATTTTAATTCTTTAATAGATTCTGAGAAATTTCATGGAATTTTCAGAATATGTTGGGGCTATAATGAAAAGATTATGCGAATATTTTTAGACGCATAACATAACATTTTCGAAAGATATTTAATAAACATAACTTAAAAATAGTTCATTATCGAAAGTGAAAATTCTCTGTAGATCATCATTTTATATATTTATTTTTATTTGATAGAGGATTCAGACTACAGTGCCTGATATGTTGTTTGTTTTTGAATTCTTGTTTTTTATGCCGAGAAAAAAGATGACAAATACAATACTTCGAAAAATGGTCATCTATTCATAAAAGTACTTTTTTATATAATAATAAAAAAGTTTAATACCAGAAAACAGACTCTTTAAGGCACATATATGTACATACTCTCTCTCACAGAAAAAAGAACAACCGACTAAAATGAAGTTGCTTCGACAATTGTAGGATGCGTGATCAGCAAAACATAAACTGAGCAAGAAGAAAAAGACATACTGGTTTTTCTGAAACAAGTATGTTTTTTCAATTAGAACGTGAGAGAAATTATCGAAAATTTTCGTACAAAACGATATATCAAATCAGCAAAAATATTTGTCTGTAAAAGATCTGATTTCAATCTATCCTTCCATGCATTTATCTTTATTTTAATAATTCTGACAGATATGAACTTTGTTTGTGAAGGGAAGGATTAATCTTTTTCTATTTCAAAATATAATTCAATGAAAAAAAAAAACAGGTTTTAGGTTACATGCGAAAGAATATCAAATTGGCGAACTGTGTTAGTAGTCAAAGCTTAACAGTAATGTGAATACGATATGTTAGAATAAGTCGAAACTAACTAACTTGTCTAGCTAACTTTAGTATTTATTCATTTCAGAATTTTACAATCGTTCATATGAATAAATACAGTTCATAGTAGGGAATTTTCGCATAAGTAGGCGGATATGCGATTCTTTTGCTTAGGAATGACTTTAATTTGACTAGAAATGACATTATATCACTAAGAAAATCGTTTTTAAGAAAATGAAAGCTTTTTTGAAAAATATGTTGAGCTACATATCATTCGATGTAGCTTGATGCGCTGATTCCGGATATCACCTTGGTTTTTCTTCAAAGTGTAATACGGGTGCCTAAAACTGGATTTCCGACCAGAAATTTTGGGTTTTTGGACATTCTGTAAAATAGTCTAAAAAAGGTTTCATGAGTTTTCGCTACTATCATAAGTAGAACATGTTCGTAGGAGCATTTGGTAAAAATTTGAGCTGGATCAGACTTTATCCTTTTGTAGCGTTTACAAAATACGAGGCGCTATGTTTTCAGATAGGTTTTGGGGTTCGAGATCCTTTGTTTTGTAATATATTTTTAACTGAATTACAATAACTGTTTTTACCATAGAGGCTATAGGTGAGCAAGCTTTTGGCGATATTATTTGCTTCTGGATTATTGTGTTATATTGCCGAGCGGCTTGACTTTCTTCATTTATGTCTATTTCTGGGTCCAAGCCTTGTCAGGCTCTTTTCTAGAACTCTATAAAACTTTGAGAACCGCTATTTTACGAAATGATAGATCACATATGTATGTATCTACGCAAACTGTTAGATTGTGGAAAAGAATATTTTCGCATATGTCCGCCTGGCCCCCCCACTGTGCATCTGTCGCTACGTTACTTTGTTTAGCAAATCGACGTAAATGAATTATGATTAAATATAGAAAAAAAAATATTATTATTTTTCTAGCAAATATGCCTGTTGATGATTATTATTCAGTATTTCGGAATATGGTACGAAATTTACTTGATGGAAATATGGATAGTTCATCATATGAAGGTTCATTATGTGAAATGTTTGGTATTCATGCTTATATTGATTTTACAATGGATAAAATTATTCATCATGGTATTTGACAAGTAAAACGAAAAACAATAATCTGTTCTTAAGTTTTTTTTCATATTTTTGGGTTTTTTTAGCTTCATACCGTTGTAACAGATGAATCATTAGATGCAATAATGCGTTTATATTCACGTACAAGGCGGTGCAGTTGATCTTGTTGATAATCTTTATACTACAGCACAACAAAATTCAGAAGCGGCTAATCAACGTGAAATAAAATCATATGCAGATGGTAATCGTGTATTTCGTATTTGTTCAGTATGTAAAAATGTATTTTTTATTTAAATATCAATCTATAATTTATATGAACAATCCGATGTCCTATTGATAAACAGTTGTAACTTTTTGAAACCTGATACAAGCAGTAAATCCTACTTTAGTAGAAAAGAACGATGTCGAACGAGAAAAATGTCTAAAATTAAAAATTTCGAACATAAAAATGTCAAAAGATAAATATGTTGACTTATTCAAACGCTGAAACAATATAAATAATTTGTCAGTTGGTGAGAAAAGATTCAATATGTTTATTTCATTTATAGAATTTTTATTCTTAAGAAAAAAACATTTTTTAATGAAGACAAAAAGAGAAAAAGGGGAAGAATCTTAATGAACAGCTTAACTTGAATCATACATATGTTTTATATGTATTTTTTTTCGTTTCAATAACTCATGACAAATCATTTGGAAGATCTGATGAGCTGATGACACCATCATTATATTCACGATGAAGAGTATTGCTGCAGTTTTTTATGAATGTTGTACATGAATTTGTTTTTGGCGCACAAACCAGACAATTGCATAAAAACTGTCTCAAGTCGTTTTGTCTTCTGCTTGTAGGATGGGCATGGATGTGAATGTAGACCTGAGTGTGCGTTTCTATTATCCGTTTCAAAATATAAAGTGCTCCACTGTTTTTTAAATAACTTTTCATAGGAACACTGTAGAGACCTGCGGTTTTCGCCATTCGAGAGAGGACACCGAGGGACATCGAAACATATTCGAAATTTGAGTGGTCAGCTATTAGCCAATCAGATAAATT